ATTGCAGGTAGGCCACACCCCTGGGGAAACTCCCCCTAGGCCGACCGGCCGCTTAGAACGCAGTCATGTGATCCATCATGGGAACCACCACTCACAACTGGAGTCCAACCAAGTTGACACATCTTCAACTATCACAATTCCTTATGGGAGTTCCAATGGTGCTTCTTTCTCAGGGATGTTTTCTGGGTTTGTATACTGGTTAGTTGTTTCTACTACCTAATCTTTCTTCTTTGCATGGACTGTGATGGTCTGTTGTCTCTGAGACATTGTGATGATGTTATATGAGAAGGAAGGTTGGGCAATTTATTTCCATAGTGATACCACCTTGGAAACCCAAGGAGGGGTCACTATGAGTCGGATCCAAGTCGACAGCAGTGTTAGTAATTTAGTGATAGAGAATGAGAATGTGTGCACAGATCTCTGTCAACTGTTCATAAGGAGCAGTTGAGAGTGAATTGAGCTGGTATTGGCCACCATCTATCGTTGGTCAGTTTGTGCAAAAGCAAGTGGTGGCCCTTACTCAGTGGTGGGGCTGCAGGAGGCGCAGGTATGGTTGGGTTGTATCAGAACAGTTGCTGTCTCCCACTCAGTTATACAAAGGAAAAATTAAAAACAACCAGAAAAAATAAAAACAAGAGAACAAAAAGTCAAACCACATAAACAAACAGGAACAATTATTAAAAAAATAGAAATGCAATAAATAAGGGTTACGAGAAAGATAATGAAATATATATATATATATATTTAAAGCCACAGTACTGTGGAGGGAGGAATGAGTAAAAAGAACAAGAATAAAAGAATACAAAAGAAAGAAAAAAGAAGGGAACCAGGAAAAGGGAAGAGAGAAATGATAGGGAAGAAGATAAAAAGAATAACATAAAAACAAACTAACAAAAACAAAACTGTAGGGAGCAGGGCACAGACAGGGTTGGTATCCCTTCTGCTGGGTAGAGGCGCAGGATGGCCACACCTCTGTTCACCAGGATGGTGTGGGGTATAAGAATAACAAGGGGAATACTGCATGTTTCCAGTCATCAGCCTCCAGTGCAACTGTCCATGCTGTCCTTGGTCAGTGAAGCCTACTCTTAGGTAGCTGTCCAGATGAGAACACCACTTGGATGTTGTGGTGGTTATGTTTGTGTGTCAAGTTGGAGAGGCCTGGCTGAGTGACTGGGCAGCTGGATACAGTATTCCCCATGATGAGACTGGCAATCAACTCCATGGTGGAATCTACTGTGAGCAGCTGAGTAGCTGCCTTTGGCTATGTGGTCTGCTTCCTGTATGTAAGAAGTTTTGAGAATGGTCTCTAGCCTATGGCACGCTTGGACCATGCATGCAGCCATGTTGTTGCTCAGCAGCCTGCTATGCTCTGCCGACCTTGAAACTTACAATGGACTTAAGTCAATGGCCTGCCGTGTGATAACATGGGGACTGTGCCTTTTTACTTGTCAACCCTAGGGTTTCTCAGCCTCTAGCCAGCAGTAGCCAGCAGCTGTCTGAGTGAACAAAAGCCTCTAGTTCCAGTGGGCCAGGAGCAGGAGGCAGAGCTGCTCCCCAAGGTTGAGGGTCTTTTACTCAGCCCCTAGAGCCTGGCACTTTGAAAATGGACTTAAAGCCTCCCAATTGTAAGAATAAACTCCTGTTTGTTAAGGCCATCCCATTTGCAGTATGTTTCCTGTCAGAGTGGCACTAGGTAACCAGAAGAGTTATTCCAAACGGCCACACCCACCACTTGCAAATATTTATAATGGCTGCATTCTCAGGACAGCTGCTGGCAGTCCACAGGTGTGTTCCCTTCTTTGCTGTTTTCCTTTCTGGCTGCTGGGCACCAATACAGTCATTCTCCATGCAATCCTTGGTGAGCAGAGCCAATTCTTAGGTTGCTACCAGGAAATACTCAAAATGGCTGTGCCCTCCGGTAGCTGGCAGTCCACAGCTCCAGTTGTCTTCTTGCTCAGTTTTCATTCAGGTTCTTCTACTGATTGGTATTTAATCCACTTCTTTATCCTTCCCTCCAAAGCTCAGGTTTTCAGGATTAACTTCTGTATCAGTTTCAATTGGTTTCTCATGGCTTTGTTGCAGAGGGTGTGTGTGGCTTGTCTGCCTAGTCCGCCATCTTGCCGCAACTCCGATAATTATTTATTTTTAAACATCTTCACTGTGACATTCATTGATCAAAAGTGGAAATATTTAAGCCAGTGGATTATGAAGGCCTCCCAGAATCAATGATATTTCTATGCATGTTGGTGCGTGCAGATTTGTTACGTTTTAAATCTAGAATACTCAGATTGACAGTAGTATTACATGTCACTTCTAAATAAATGTGTTATTGGGTTTTTGTTGGAGTTCTGGTGGTTAGTGGTTAAGGCACTTGGCTGCTAATCAAAAGGTTGGTGGTTCAATCCCACGAGCCACTCCATGGAAGAAAGATGTGGCAGTCTACTTCTGTAAAGATTTACAACTTTAGAAACCCAATGGGGCTTGCTATGAGTTGGAACTGACGTGATGGCAGAGTCTGGAGTTTCCCATTGACTTTTATCACAGGGCCTGGTAATACTGAGACATCCTTAAGGAGCTCCTGTATCCCAGACACTTGTCTTTACCTCCACTGTTGAATATCAATCCAGTTTCCCTTTGGTAGTCAGGATCCATCACACCAGCCAATATGGTAACTGCCTTCTTTGCCTGTTAACCAAAAGCAAGAAAAACCCAAAACAACCAAAACCCAATCTTAACCTCCAGTTCAGTGGCATCAGTGTTGCGTCAGTCCTGGTGGGAGCATTACTTCCTTTGGAAATAAGACCTCTAGACCTGCAGAGCAGGAACAGAAAAGCAAAAAGTTTGTGAGTGGTGCCTCTCCCATTTTCACCTGCTGGTTCCTGAAGCTGGGAATTCTGACTATTAGGGAAACAGCACCATATATTGGACACTGGTTTAGAGCATATACAGCCTCCTGGAGAATATTGCCCCAATCCTGCAAGGTACTGCCACTTAGCTGGCACCCCAATTGTGTCTTTAGAAGGCTACTCCATCCTTTTAACAAGCCAACTGCTTCAGGATGATGGGGAATGTGCTAAGACCAGTGAATTCCTCATGCATAAGTCCACTACTGTGCTTCATTTGCTGTGAAGTGAGTTCCTTGATCTGAGTCAATGCTGTGCGGGATACTGTGATGAAGGAAAGATCATTCGTTAAGTCCATGGATGGTAGTTTGGCAGAAGCTTTGCCTGTGGAAAAGGCAAATCTGTAACCAGAGTGTATAGCCTAGGAAGAACAAAATGCTGCCTTTCTGTGATGCAACAGTCCAATTGAATCAACTGCCACCAGGCTGTTGGGGTCCCAGGTTGTTAGGTATTCAGTGTCCATAGCTCTAGCAGTGACTGTAGCAAAGTCGGCCTTGGTGAGTGGCAATCTGTGTTGCTGAGCCCATGCCTAATCTCCATCTTTGCCACCACAGCCACTTTGTTCATAAGCCTATTGGGCAATGACAGGAGCAGGTGGGGACAAAGGGTGACAAGATGAACACAGAATTAAGAGCAAACACAGGCCTTGCCAGAGTGTATATTGAAAAACCCAAACTCACTGCCATCGAGTCAATTCTGATTCATAGTGACTCCCTTTGGGTTTCCAAGGCAGTAAATCTTTACAGAAGTAGATTGCCAGTCTTCCTTCCACGGAGTGGCTGGTAGGTTTGAACCTCCAACCTTCTGCTTAGCAGTCAATGCCTTAGGCACTACACCAGCAGAGCTCCTTAGAATGTCTGTGTGTGTGTGTGTATATATATATATATATACACACACATACATGCATACACAAAAATACATCTATATATGTATGTATGGCATATGGCATGTGTGCAGTGAGTTTGGTTTTTTATATATATACTCTGGCAAGGCTTGCTTGCTCTTAATCCTGCATTCATCTTGTCATCCTCTATCCCCAGTTGCTCCTGTCATTGTGTGTATATATACATATATGTTGTTGTTTGCCATTGAGTCGGCCCCAACTCATAGCGACCCCTCCTTGGGTTTCTGAGGCAGTATCACTATGGAAGTAGATTGCCTTATCTTTCTGAGCAGTGGCTAGTGGGTTTGAACTGCCAGCCTTCTGGTTAGCAGTCAAGTGTCTTATGCACTATGCCACCAGAGCTCCTGTATACATATATACATACCTATATGTGTATACATACACACACACAAACACACACACACACACACACACGGAGCTCTGGTGGCATACTGCCTAAGGCAGTTGACTGCTAACCAGAAGGTTGGTAGTTCAAACCCACCAGCCACTCCATGGAAAGACTGGACAATCTACTTCAGTAAACATTTATCACCTCAGAAACCCAAAAGGGGTCGCTATGAGTCAGAATCGACTGGATGGCAGTGAGTCTGGTTTGCACATGTATGTGATGCAGGCCACACCCCCAAGGGAACTCCCTTTCCAACTGCCTAGCTGCTTACATCAGATCACATTATGGAGAATGATTACATAAAGTCTGCCAATTGAGAGAATCATGGCCAAGATGACACATAACATCACCATTGTACACCCTTACAGCCTGAGCAGGAAAAATCCATTTATTAAGATCACCCACTATGAGCCAGACATTGTAATGAGTGCTTGACACAGACCTCCTGTGTATTCTTCTTGCCATGGTGAGTACAAAGGCCGAGAAAAATATAACCAACATGTAAACATTAGTAATGATATGTCTTTATTCTTTAACTAAAAAACAGCTTTCAATTTGTCCTGCAAAAGTTAATTAAAATCAGCAACTGCTTTTCTCACATACTTCTCTCAGGTCCAAGAGAGGTGAAGAATTCAGGCCCTGATTGAAAACCAGTAATAACGGTCCACTGTTACATTTTTGTGGTAAAACTTCCAAGCTGGCGTTCCTCCGTATATGCTCTTCGCAGGGTTTGATATTTGCCATCCAACACGCAGTGTCCGTGTCACTGATAGATTCTGCGAGGTTCCCGCAGCACCACACCACCTTCTGTCACAGCACTCTGCAGTCGTTTGATCTGGTTTGAAGACCAAATAAAAGGAAAAGGATTAACTGAGGGTGGTGTAGTCAATTACTTAGTGTGGCTTTTCTACCCATAAGTCTTTGTAAACTCCAAGGTGGGATTTGCTATGAGCAACTGAGGAGCTCCTGATTGCTGAAGGTGTCCACCTGGAGTATTTCTGTTGGGAGTGGCACAAAACAATGGTCTGGGAGGTGCCCACTCTCTCTCAGGTGTTTAGAGTTCTGATGCTGTGATTGGCTAGTTTGACCACCCTGCCGGGCTCAAAAGGAGGCCTCCTAGAGGCAGAACTCTCTCTGACTGCTGGTTGAGGAAGACGTGCTGCTGAAAGAGACACGTGCTGCTGGGAAAGAGACGCAAGAGACACGCATTGCTGAGTGAGACACCGAGGGACTAGCACTGCTGGGAAAGAGACTGGGAGAGACTGTTGGCTGAGGGACAGTGGGCTGGGAGAGAGACTAAGCGTTTATTCCTGAACTCAAATTGTAGCCTGTGGTGCTTCCCTAATAAACCCCATAATCTGTGAGCTCTGTGTGGTCACTGCAGCGAATTATCGAACCCAGGAGAGAGGTGGTGGGTGCTTTGGGAGGAACGGTTGGTGAAAGGGCTGGAGGGAAGCAGCATGTCTGGCCTGGCAGGAATAGGTCTTGGGTTATTGATGATGACTCTGTCTTCCTCTTGTGGGATTACAGGAGGTCAGAACGTGTGGTCTCCTTGCCGTTTTTGCACTGAGCATCACAAAGAAGGCTGAACATGAACAGCTCACTTCCCAGGAAGGAAGTTAAACAGAGTTTAACTTGATTTGCCCCTTGCTAACTTCCCAGCCTACACTGGTTTTTCAGAAAGCAACCTTAATCACATAGGTAACAAAACAGGGAATGTACAGAAATCAAAAATCAGTAGCATTTCAAAATATGTTACAGAAAAGATGTTACTGTGTGAGCAGGCAAGTCCAATGCTGACCCTGTGAGCTATGGGACTCATTTCCCTGGGTGTGAAACCCAGCACTGACTGACTCTGAGCAAGTCAATATGAGCCTCAGTTTATTTTTGTACAAAATAGTTAACAATAGTCCCTACCTGTATGGGTATATGCAGCTCTAGTGGTACAGTGCCTAAGGCATTTGATAACTAACCAGAAGGTTAGCTGTTCAAATTCACCAGCCACTCCACAGAAGGAAGATGGGGCAATCTACTTCCATAAAGATTTACCACATCGGAAACCCAATGGGGGTCACTGTGAGTCGGAACTGACTCAATGGCAGTCGGTTTGGTTTTTTCATATGGGTAAGGAGTGCTGGTGGCACAAGGGTTAAGCAATTGGCTACTAAATGAAAGGTCAGCAGTTCCAACCCACCAGCAGCTCTGTGAGAAAAAAGGACTGGCAATCGGCTCCCATTAAGATTACAGTCTAGGAAACCCTGTGAGGCAGTTCTTCTCTGTCCTATAGGGTTGCCATTGAGTCAGAATCGACAAGACAGCACACAACAGCAGCCTACATGGGTTGCTGCCAGGCCACATGAGGTAATGAACATGACAGTACTCCCCCAGAGTCTGACATGTGAAAAGGGCTTGGTAAACGAAAACTGTCAATTTTATGGAAGTATCTAATGTTGCTGAGAATCAACACAATATTCTTTAGACAAATCCATGAAAAGAAACGTACCGAGTCTGAGGCTGCCTCCCAGGGGGTGGGCTGGTAGACCATGAAGTTGATTCCCGCCTGTAAGCATCGCTCGGCCAGTATCTGTCCAACGCTCTCACAAGCCACCACGTTGTTGGTCCTATAAAGGTGCTTTTTAATAGCCCATTCACGAGTCGATGCCGAAACCACAATCTGGCCGTTTAGATGCTCAACAAATGCTTCTACGTGATGCTGAGTCCTTATAACTCGCAACCTAGCCGAAGTGAGGGGAGAGTAAGTAAAACAAAGAAATCTACTGTCACCTTTTCTCAAGTAATAAAGGCCTATGTATTCTAAGAATGTAACATCTAGACTTCAATGTACTGAACCTGGATTTTATTTGGGAAAGGTGTTGTTCTCTGCCTGTACAAGACTTGCCTCAACTAATAAAAACCAAATATTTCCACTTAACCTAAAGTATCAAGGAGAAGTTTGGTATTTCTGAAGAGCCGAGTCTTATTTATTTACACAGCTCTACATCAAAATGGATTTGAAGAGATAGAGTTAAGCTGCGGGCCCCACACGGCGCAAGGATATATTTATTCTCTGCTTTTATTTTCCAATTCACACCAAAATAAATGTGACATGGATCAAAGACTTAAATCTAAGAACTGAAATCATAAACGCATGAGGAGAAAGCAGGGGAGAATTGTTTCATAACCTCAAAGACAAGCCTATTTAAATATGACATCAAACCAAAAGTCATTAAAGAAAGGATTGACAACACTTAACAATGAAAATTTTTTGCATGGAAATAGAAAAAAATATTGTAAACTCATACATTGTTTAAAGGGCTAATTTCCATAATATGTAGAAAGCCTTCTATAATCAAGAACAAAATAACCAATATTACTTAACAGAATAGGCAAAAGCTTTGAATAGATCGTTCACAGTAAAAGGAACTTAGTGACTTTCAAACCCATAAAAGTATGTCCAATCTCATTTACAAAGGGCATGGACAAGGCAATTCACTGCAACACTGTAATCATAAAAGATTATCATCAAGAGGTAACCAATCAAATATCCCTACAACAGAGTTTTATCCAGCTACTAAGAAAAGATACTGGCTTTATCATAACAATGTTAATTTACCCTATGCTGGCACCGTCCTAAGTGTTTATATTGGTACAACCTGTGTCTCTAAACAATCCCATTTTTTTCGCCCCTAAGATGCAGAAACTGGTATAAGGTTAAGTAATTCACACAAGATTAAAACTACTAAGTGATGGAGTCAGGACGTAAGTCCAGGAGTCTGACTGCAGAACCAACACTCCTAACCACTAATGACCTCCACGATAGACTGAAGGGGGGAAAAAGAAAGGTGCAAAATAGTATTCGTGGTATACTAAGATTTGTAATTAAAAAAATACTAATCTATGCTTATAGACTGTCTTTGAAAGGATACACAAGAAACTCTGGGGTGTATACTATGTATGTGAATTACACATTAAAAAAATATGCTCAAATTAAAGAAAGCACCCAGATTAGACGATTCTCACTAGTATTCTCAGCATGAAATAGAAGAACCACTCAGGTTTGGAATTGTGGGTTCTAGGCCACGCTTTTCCATGACCCTGTGTCAGTCTGTCAGTGTGGCGGCTTGTGTGCTGTGATGATGCTGGAAGGCACATCGCCAATGTCTCAAATGCCAGAGGGTCATCCATGGTGAACAGGTTTCAGCAGAGCAGCCAGACTAGACAGACCAGGAAGAAAGGCCTGGTGTCCACTGAAGATCGGTCGGTGAAGACCGCATGGATCACAAAAGAACACTGTTCAGTTCAACAACGTGAAGACAGTGTGAGACCGGGCAGCGTTTCATTCTGTTGTGCATGTGTAAGGTTGCCTCGAGTCGGAGCTGACTTCAGCAGCAGCTCACAACAGAGAGCAGCCCAGGCCTCACTGGCGGCCCTGGTAAAAACCACGATCCCTTAAACCAAACTTTCTGTAAAGACCAGACAGGAAGGGATTCTGGCTCTGCAGACAACACAGCCAGTCTGCTGCCGCTCAACTCAGCCACTGCGGAGCTGGAACAGCCAGGGGCAGTACGCGGACAGAGAGCATGGCGGTGCCCGGTGAAGCTCTTCG